GAAACACTTTTTTTATTCAAGAAGATTCATTTGCACTCACAAATACTACCAACTGCTTCCAGTTGATCTCTCAGCTGCCTTTGTAAATCAAGGGAGCAGATCCACATACATATTTTTTCAAGGTTTGATTTTTTTTTTTTTAGCTCTGAGTCAGTTCTTTGGATGTTTAATTTACTATGAAATCAGCCTCCAGCTAAAAACTGTGAAATCATTTTAGTTAATTTGCCATATTTATCAGTTTACTAGTGGAACTTGAGTAGGCCAAGAGGGAATCTGCCATCGCCAGCAGTTTGGAAAATTAAGGAAAAAACCCTTGCTTTTTGTTCCACAGGGTGGGGAAAGAAAGCTAAATCAATGACTAGTTAAAAGCTTGCAGCCTTTACATGTAAACAGAATTACAGATTATTCCCTGACTTTTCCTGCTCCCCTTCTACAAACATACACTTTGAATAGAATTTAACAGAATAAGACTTGTTCTGTTTAGGCAAATTGTTTACCGTTGAAGCTCAAGTTGGAGATGAGTTGTGAGTTGAAAAATCAACAGGAAGAGCCCTTCATGTTATTTAATACAGTAGCATATATCCTTAGCTGTAACTACAAGGCCCAATATCAAGTCCGTCTCCTTTGAGGTGGAATTTTAATACATATTCTGATGGCATCGTTCTATGTACTGCATGGGCACACATGCTCACACACGCAAACACTCCTTCTGCTCCGTATCACTTGCTGACAGTAGGGAAAGCATGTAAACAAACACACAAGGGTAGGCATATAGTCTGCTGTATGTTTACTCCATGAGAAGGATGGTGCAAGGTAATTAATACAAGGCTGCAGTTGGACACACGAAAGCCTGAAGATGGCACTGCCTATGCTGACCAGTTGCACTTGTCCACCCTCATACTCTTTCCAACCTTCATGATGCCTGGGATGTCTGAAGGAGACCGATACATTTGTTCACTTGAAAGTTAGCATGGGTTGGGACTCTATTACAGTCTTATTAAAGCTGTCCCTGTGTTCGAGTGAACAGGAGTACCCTTTTCCTACAAATCTTAGAGGAAATAAGAATGGATGTTAGGAGGCCAGATCAATGGAGGCAACCCTATCTTTTATGTGATTTTGAAGACCTCCCAGTCAGACAAACATCAGAACAAGAGTGCATTTTATGTTGTTCCTGGAATGTACATGTGGTTATGGGATTACTATGTCTTATTTTACAAAGGACAACGTTCTGTCTGAAAGGACAGCCTTCTAGGAAAAGGGCAGTCAGAAGACAATTGAAGGTAACCTCTGTCTGAAAGGCTATCTGGACCAGGACTGGTTTAAAAATGAAGGAGCATTAGAACATGGGCTTTGAGGGTTCCGTTGACAAGGAAAACACTGGAGGGGATGTAAGGCAAAGCACTTGTCCATTGAGAGACTCCCCACTTTATTTTCCTAATCTTCTCCTGGGGGAGGTTATGTGTTCTTCTTGGGCCAGCTGATATAAAACATCAGAATACTTTTATTAAGCATGCATAAATGCACAGAGAAAAATGATGCCAAACAAAATTCCTGGGATCCTGAGCACATGCATATACCCCCACACAGGCACACACAGGCGTACCCTGTTCCTGTTGCGAACTAGTTTTGAAAGTATCACATCAGCAAAGCCAAAAAACAGTTGGAAAATGCTTTGGTTTTCTCTGTACTCTGCTGCAGCATATATTCTTGCCAGGATATGCTTACTAAGTTTCCAGGGATGGGAGGAGCTCATGAAGAATTTTTTTTTTTCTAACCCCTTTTGCTTTCCTGTAAAATGGAATGGAAAGAACTCCTTCACTCGTAAAATAACTTGCACATTAGCAGAAATAAAGGGCTGTCTGGTAAAGTCTCTGGAGTAACAATTGCTCTGTGTTTCCCTGCAATTTCTGCATGTTCAGCAACAGCAAATAGTATTTGTCTACCTTTTCCAGAACCGTGACAGGAGCAAAAGAGTTGCTGTATAATCAGTGGTGAGAGGTTCAAAATACAATGAGTTGTCACTCTTTCACATTTTTGAAATAATCCATCCTGGGAAGGTCCAGCTACTAGACTTTTTTTTTTTTTAATTTGACATCTGTCCCTTGTGGTCAAGCTTTTGACCTTCCTCTTTGACTTGTTTATTGAAGAGCCATAGCACATGAACTGCAACGCATGTTCTAAAGCAGAGCAGCCTTTAATCCTCCAAAGGCGGTTAGATTCCAGCTTCCATCAGCTCCAGCACTAAGGCCAGCAGTTAGGGTTGATGTGAGTTGCAGGCTGACCTCTGGAGGGCAGAGGTTGTCCACATTTTTTGTACAAAATTGTGGAACATACTCTCAGACATATTAGCAGCTCATTCAGGCCATTGGCCAGGTCTCTTGAGTCTCACGTTGCCCCTCTCAAAATGAGAGCAGAGCACAGAAAACAGTTGGCATTCTTTCCTAGCTATGTGCTGTAGAGAACAATCAATAAAAACAGGCAGTCTTCGGGAGCATCATGTCTAACTGGAAACTCTCAATCCAAGAACCTCACAATCCTGTGGAACAAGCTCAGAAGTCACTATACATTGGTGAACAAAACTGCTAAATGTGCTCAGTCATACATCTATGATCTTGTAAGTCTTTTGAATTGGTCGGGATTTAGGATCTAACAGCATGGCTGTCCCCCCAGTGTTCCCCATTCTGGTTAATGTAAACAACTGATAGTTCTTTCTGAACTATGTCCTGATGTTGAATGAAAGGTTCCCGAGAGAGCCCTGTTGATTTCTTTGTTTGCAATGCTATCCTTGGACATGGCAGGAACAAAGAATGAGAAGTGAGATGTGCGCCCCCTTATCTAAGAAACATGAAAGCCAAAATATTTACATACATACAAAAAAAAAAAGGAAAAAATTACATAGGGCAACGGGATAAATTACCTGGCTTAGTGTCTTCAGACGATCAGACTATAAATTGGAATTATTATTATCCTCATCATCTCTATTTAAAAAAAATATTCGTAACTCAGTTGAGGTTTTAGTAACACAGCATATGAACTGAAAATTATACCTACATTTCAGTCGCATTCAGAAAGAGCTCTCTATTGTAGCAAATAAACCACAAGGGCTTATTTGATATGCATGCATAGACACACACAGACACACACACACACACGGAGTGTATCATAGCATTCAGTGGCCCCCCACAAAAAGTCATATGCACAGAATGCTCAAAGAGGAAAAAAAGAGTTTAACAGTATGAGATCAAGCATCCAAACTATTTTAGTGACTGGGCTTTATTTCTGTGGTGGCCCCAAAAAATACAAGATCCATTTGGACTAAGGATGACTTTCCTGATGGTGGTAAATTACTGTATAATAATAGCGTGGGCATACAGGGTGGTACAATTTTCTGTAGTGAAGGATTCACTCCTAATATTTCCTGAGTCCAGATCTTTCAAGTCAAGTCTCTTTTGAGCCAAGTTCACCACCTGGAAGGTTGGTTCTTTGGCCAATCAAGAAGATGCAATAAACTCCGGAACTAGACTATCTAGCTTAAAGAAAATTAGCTTAATATAGTCAGTGTGGCTCCATCAATAGTAACTGGGCTCTCATCTTAACAGCAATATGGAAAAAGCTTTGCAACCACTTTAGTTATAGCTGGGCTCACATGTGCAAGACAATAAGTTACATAAAGTAAACCATTCCTTCCTGGGAACCTCATAAGAAGTGGATCTAGAAGTTCCTTCCTTATATCATGCATCACACTTTCAAGGCACCAGACTCACTGGATGAGGTAGCTCCTTGAAGATGTGTGAACTTCAACTCCCAGAGGGGAATTCTGGGAGTTGAAGTCCACACATCTTCAAGTTCCCAAGGTTGAGAAACACTGCTTCAGAGCTTGTGGGTGGTCCATTGCTCCACTCAACATCTAATCAATACATTTGAATCTCATGTTTGCAATGCATTCACTAGGTGTCCTTAGTTCAGTGTTTCTCAACCTTGGCTGCTTAAAGATGTTTGGACTCCAAGCGACCAAGGTTGAGAAACACTGCGCTAGAGCCTTGCTGGTTTGAAAATCTCTCATCTAGGATTACCAACATGGAAATGATATGGCACTGTCTTTGTCTTCCCCAGGTAACCTATAGCCTGGGTATTCCTAAGGAATCTCCTCTCAAAGTTCTAACAAGGTCTGGCCCCACTTAGCTTCCAAGCCCAAAGCCCAAAAGGTGCTTCCAGACATCCTGTGCACCAGTATCAAATGTTCGACTAACCCAGTTCTTGCTTATTTCCAAGCCCTGTAACTTTAAAGTTTCTGAATGTGCATTTGCTGAAGCTTGACTGGATGCACGGCGCTATTGCCTTGACCTACTTTTTTTTCCTTTCCTTTCCTTTTTTGCTTCTTTATATCAGATGAAATAATCTAGCAATAATTTAACCCCACCCTATTCTACTTTTTTTCTCTTTTTTGGCCAGTCCAGCATTCATTGCAAATCTGCTGGGATTTCCTTTACCCCCAGATAATTTTATAACACTTCCTTGAAGTGTTTCTCTAATCTAATGAGCATACTTGCTAACAAGTCTGCATGGAATAAGAATAACCATGTCATTATAGGTAAAAAGACAGGTCAAATTCTGCCTTGAGATTCGATTAACCCATTTCATTTTATGTACTCGGTCATCACTTCTGTTCCCAATTTCTCTTTCATATATGTGTAGGCAAGATGGGAGAGATTTTATCTAAATTAGACTCAGCTCACACTCTTTGATCCTATTCACCAACATTTAGCCTTGAATATTAGATGGATTTTCTGTTTCAACAGTGAAATGAGAGGTGGAAAAGCCAACCACTTCTTCCAGTCTGTGAATCTCCCAAATAGCAAACGTTGGTGTAAGAAGAAGTGGTAGCTGCAAGCTATGGAACGCTCCCCAGAGAAAGGCAGGTGACTCGGAGAAGTGTTGTGTGTGTGAAGTGTTTTCCACCCGCCTTGTCACCAGGGACAGCACTATGCTCACAACTCTGTTGCTTGCTTTGATGTGGTAATAAGCATTGATCACAGATGAGGAAAGTGAGAGAAAGATGCCTTTTGCTCCTTGTTTTTGTTGTTGTTATTAGTATTATTATTTTAATCTTCTAGCTGTGGAAGACAGAAAATTGTTCATAGGAATGGTTTCGAAGAAGTGTAATGAGAACGATATCAGAGTGATGTTTTCTCCATTTGGCCAGATAGAAGAATGCCGAATCCTTCGGGGACCGGACGGACTCAGCAGAGGTGAGCGCACGCAGTCTTATAAGGCCCTCTTGTTTTGAAAGGCAAGTTAGAGTTGGGGGGACAGAACTGGTTGATCCAGATCAAGGTTGAGCTCAGATGCCACGGGACAATCCCTTTTCAATAAAACTTCAGCAGAATTTCATTAGAAGTCCTCAGAAATTCCTTTGGCCCCTATCTCTCAGCATTTAGCTATATAGCTCTGGAATGAGGGGTGGGCAGTAATTAACGTCCATATACCTTGCACTCCCCTGTGGATTGTTTCCCTCTTTCTCTTCAGCCCAGACTTTCCAAGGAAGGGTTAGAAGACAGGTTTTGCCTTCCCTGTACTGTGTATCCCCAATTCCCATGATTCAGCTTTCTTTATAGGAATGGAAATAAGAGTATGTCCTTGAGAACTTTTTTTTTTCTGAATTTGTTCCCTGCCCTGTTGACCTCAACATTTCAATATCAAATATAGCTCTGTCTGCTGGCTGCACATCTTCATCTGATCACCCTGGCCTTGAGTATTGCTTCTTGATCACACCTGAAAAGGATGCAATATTCTGAGCTAACCTTTATGTATTTCAACTGGACAATACACCTGCAGATTTGTAGCTAGGGAGAGCAAATAACCACTTGTTGTTTAAACACATCTTGGATAGTACAGCTGGGTCCAGACTACAGATCTTCAAAAGAAATACATGGCTCTCAAGGGGTAATATAGTGCAGATCTGAAGTTTAAAGAGACTGGGAAGAACTGTCAGGGTGATCGTGTGAAGGTTCTCAGTATGAATGATTAACAGCTCAATCTTATGCATGTCACATTGGAAGTAAGTCTCACTGAGTGTTCATTGAGCCTTACTCCCAATTTTGTGAATAAGATTACAGCTTTAGCTACTTATTTGCATTTAGTCTGTTAGAAAAAAAACGCCATATTCCATATCTGGGGTATGGTTCCTGAAAATATATTTTACACACCGAGAGAGACACACAGACACATATAATTTACGTTTCCTCCAGGAACTCAAGCTAGCAAATACAATTCTCTCTCCGTTTGTCCATTTTCCTCCAAGCCTGTGCTTTCATCCTTACAACATCCCTTCTGTAAATTAGACTGAGAGATAGTAATTGGCCCAAAGTCATCCAGGGAGTTTCACGCCTAAGTAGGGATAAGGTTTAACAAAGCCCCATTCTGGTTCAGGAAATACCCCACAAAGAATATTTGCTATAATAAATATTGAAAACCTAGTGAACGTTGACATTTACTGCTTTAAGGCTGTGTAAGCTGAGGGAGAAATGATCCTGACATTTACTGGTGAATGTTGACTGTAGCTCTATGGGAGAACAACACCCGCTGGATTATTTACAACACAGATGGGCAACCAGTGTTGCTCAATGTAGCTTCTGGAGGTAATCAGTTCAGGGTTGCTATCTTCCCTTCAATAACCAAGATGGCAAGCGAGCAGAAAGAAAGAATAGAGGTCTAGAAGAGAAAGAGAGAGAGAGAAATATTAACTCCATTCATCTACTACCCCTCTCACCATCAGACCACACCTTAGTTAGATTATCCCCCCCTTAATTAGATAGAGCCTTCATCAAAAAAAAGTTTCCACCCTCCTGATTTATAGGTAAGAGAGATGCAAAACAGGGTCATGTCTCAAACTCTTCTAAAGTCATCTTAAGACTCACTGGTAAATATCAATTATCACCAGATTTCTGACATTCACTGTGACGTGGTAGTCATTTAAATATATGCTAAGCATTTTTCACAATGGCAAACACATCAGATACCAAGTTATGTATTGATGAACCAGTATTTGATTCCATAGCAATTTCTGTCCTTCATTTTAAAAGAAAGCACATTCCTGTATTCATAAGGAAGTGTGCACATTTAATTTAAAAAAAAAAAATCCATCCTCCCCATGGATAAACAACACTCTAGGTAAATTAATTAAACTACACTCCTTTGCAGATAGATGTTTATTTCTGAGTTATTTGTTCTGCTTTAGTTGACATGAGGCAAGACTTCTGACCATTGGAAAGCCATCCCTGCTCTCTTCTGCCTTCTGATTCATTAGCTATGGCCCAGACATGTTCAAATCTATCATACTAATGAGGACTAGAAACCTGAAAATCTGAAATTTAATAAATGTTGCATTCCATGCTTATGATAACAAATTGGTCATCCACATTGACAAAAACTATTAAGCAGAGTCCAGGCAATAATATAGCTGAATCTATTATTAACCAATCATAAGAGTCTTAATAAGATGCAATCCTATTATAGAGTTCCAAACAACCCTGTTTGGAGTCACTGGTCTGAGATGGGCGGCTATATAAATTGAATAAATAAAATGAAATAAAATAAAATAAAATAAATAAACCCTTCTGTCCCAACTATCTCAGTTCCAAAGGCTCAGAGGAATAAATAGGAGAATAGGGGGGCTATCAGGCTTAAATATCTTGAAGCTGAAGGACAACAGAATTAATATAATAGAACTACAGTTTATGCATTTCTATTACATATCCTATATACTGTACATCCAAATAAACTCTGCTGAAATCATTTCTGAAAAGACAGAATTATTTCTAGAGAGGAGCAGAATCTCAATGAGCATCCATATACAGTATCTCTATTATCATTCCTTCTAGAAAAGGAAGTTTCTCACCTGTTTATGGATACAAGAACATTGTTGAAATCAGAAGTGGGAGGAATTCAGTGTTTCGTGCATATTGTGTCTTTGCAAATATCTGCCTACCTTTATATTTTATGTATTTCACTGTCAGAACATTGTCAGAGGTATCAAACAAAACATTTGTAAATTAGAATGGGCAGAAGATAAATAATGAGTAAGATGTAGTGCATCCTAGATGAAAGCTTGTGTATGGGGAGGGAGATTTATCTTTATTCCTTCCTTCCTGGGTTAGGCCTTCCAGAATACCACTTCCTTTTAAAACTATCCCCCCCTTCCCCCCCGGCATGTCTTTTACATGGCAGATCTCGAAATCACTTCTCCCAGCAATTCTGTGTAGATATTCAACAGTATGGGAGAAAGAATAGAACTGCAGAGCCCAAAAGAGCCAGGAAGCTGAGAAATGATTCCAAAGTATGTCTTCAGGAAATGGACATTTTAATTAAGAACCACCATCCTCTTATAACCAATCAATATAGCCTATTCAGAGGTAACCAGAAAGATACCATGGTTTGTAGAATCCATAGATGCAATATAGAAAACTACAATAGATTGTAGAGCCAGTTTGATCTAGTGGTTAAGGCACCAGGCTAGAAAGTGAGTTCTAGTCCCTACCTTAGGTATGAAAGCTGGCTGGGTGACTTTGGGCCAGTCACTCT